CACCAATGATTATATTCTGGATCATGACTGAATAACTGACATAATTGATCTCTGACGTACATGATGCTGATATGCGCTTCTGAGACGAATCACCGCATTCCTGCATTTCGACAGAGTCTGCAGTATAGATGGCCGAGAGAGTCTTGTTGTACAGTCGGTGTTTCTCCAGATTGAGAAGTAGCAACTACGATGGTATGGGCATGACTTGAGAATGCCTTCAGAAGGGAAGGAGAAACAGATACAACTACAAACAAACTAAACTACTACTACCGTATCCACTGCATATTATGTTATTTGTTGATGCCGCTATTCGAAACCTTCGTTCTGCTCTGAAACCTCTGTGCTGCATGCAATTTGCATAAAGTCATACCTTTTTCGTGGATCAATCGTGGTGTCAAGTAAAAATATGCACATGGCTGTTACTTTCCCAATCGAACGGCCAAAAACCTAAGAATTAGGGACAACCCATAATGACCTGGGGCAAATGCCTCGGCAGACTCTGCTCAAACTAGGATTATGTTCTGCCGATGCGAAAGCGCTAACACAGGATCGAAATCGCGGAAGACACTATTTGGCGCGCCTGATTCCAAAGGGATGAACTGTCATCGAAACTGAATTATTAGCCATCTATCAGGTAGGTCAAGATAAGTTACAGTGCGTGGGGCACAACATCAGACGACATGGCCGTAAATCTCGCACGCTTTGGTATGACCACAGCAAATCACTGTAATCTAGCAGATACATTACTTGCTATACGTTTCTGATCTGGTTGTTTTGAAATTCTGTCGTTTGGATCTTTTGCTCAAGGATACATTTTCTGAGGATTTCAAGGGCAAGGATTTTTTGCGGTTTGTAACATGAAATGTAATTCCGTGCCGGCATTTGAACTCGACACTGTAAAGTACGAAGCTTACGTTTTACGCCTTGCGCAAATGATCCAAAATTTTAGTCCACGAATTCTAATCCAATCGCGCTGCATATTAGCCCAAGTTGCCCACGGTTCTGCTAATTATTATTTCAATGCAGATACGTCATCCCATTATATTATTAGCGGTACAAAAACAAGACAAAACGTTCTTTGTTGACCTTTAGACTGCACTGATATTGGTCATCATTTAAACTGTACTGAGTTTTTGATTCATTTCGCAGCAGCAACGCTGGCTAGATTTATAGTATGTTCAAATTGTCCGACTATGCTATTTCTGTGTGCTTTACACCCTTTAATGTGCAAAGTTTTCCATAATTGAAAGTGTTCCTACGATCGCTTCATTTGAACAGCATCTTCAATTAATAGTTCGCTTTTTCGACTGGTTCTGATCGTAATGCGTAATGGATTGTCCTTATTGGCGAGTTTGTTTTACCGGCCATACGTGGTCATTGTGTACAGTTGCTCCTTTCAACAAATGTTGATAACCGCCAGCGTAGCCCAGTTTATCACCGGCTTAACATGCAATTAATTCATATCATTTCTCGAAATTTATGAGCCATTAATTTTTTATTTTAAAAATATCTCTGAACTTTGCAGACATGAAAAAGCATCATGCGTGCATGCCATTTCGGAAATTTAAACCATTGCACTGTTGCCTTGCTGGAGGAAAAGAGAAAAGGTCGTTTCTAAATTTCTGCGAAGATCTATTCTGAGAAGTAATTTTTTCTGTCATTTCTCTAGCTTCTCACGGCGTACTCCTACTGACCCTTGCATTTTGTAGCCTAGGATCTGTTTCGACAGGCTACCATTCCTCGCAGTTTAGTATCTGCAGTACAAAATTAATAGCGTAACGGAATTTGTTAATCTAATGACAGGCAGGTGACATTGTTCACTCCAATATTGGTCAGTTTTGATGACCGTGTCTCCTTTCGGGTCACCTAGACAGACGCGTTACACAGTGTCTTCAACGTTGCCGATTCTGTGCTAGTGTTTGAACATCGGCAGAAAATTAACCAAGTTTTAATAAGAGCTCTTCCATATTATTAGCCATGGCTTATTTTTGGCCAACCCGGTGTGTTC